CGCTATATAATGTGTATTATATATGCATGGACTTGTAGGGACCTGTTTCGCTGGCCCTGAGGGCTGAGGTCAAAACGCGACATCTATATATATATATATATATATATATGTATATATACATATATACATATATATATAAACGCTACATTTATAGATATACATATCGCAGAGATATATATATTGTATATCATTGATGTATAGAGTATAGAATTCAGTGTGTAGGGCACTCTAGTTAGGCAAAATTTATTTGCAGTTTAGTAGCTTAGTTTGCATGTGGGAAAAATTATCAAAAGAGACTACAGGTGGCTAATGAGAGGGCGCGAATTTGCTGCCGATAGCTTGTGGAATGAGCTGTTGAGCTCGCGAACAAGACTTTTGCATCTCTGTTTTATATGTCTTTCTGCTTTCAACTCTCTTGCTTGGCTGCTGGCCATTTCCTTCAATATTGAAATTGAAGTGTCCAAAATCCAAGTTCAGGTCCCGCCAGTAATGCCCACAGACAAAGCGGGAGGCCTCGTGACTGCGCGCGAGCCACTCGGAGGTGAACAGCAGGGGCAAGGACAAACACCAACACAAGTGTAGCCCTGGAGGCAGGCACATTGGGGGGATCAGTGGGGAACAGAGGAGGGGAAACGGGGAGAATAATGGCGGAAATGGGAAAAATAATGGCAGATATGGGGGAAATAATGGTGGAAAATGATCTAAACCGTCAACTGCAACGGCCAAATCTTTGCTTTGCAAGGAACGAAAACAGTTGTGATCGACCGGCCCGACGCGGGCGCGACGATCCTCCCTCGGGTGTACAGACAGGTGGTTCGAACGGCGCAGGAACCCCCTGGCGAGCTTCTCGGGAAGAATTCACCAAACGACAAATGCGGCAGCAACTGTCGGCGTTTGTCACCGAGACAAGTATTCCCTGTGCAGAAAGGCGTTTGTAAGTCCCTGTTTGCTGCGGGATGTTCACGCTTTCAATTGTTTCTCGTTTCGCCTTTCTGTGGGCGAAGCCACTTGAAACCTCTGCTGCTCGGCAGGAGCAGCGCCGAATCCCGCGCTGAAGAAAGTGCCTTGTTGCGCACAAGACAGCATGGACACTGCAAAAAAGGATAAAACCGGAGCTCAGCCGGAGCACATTGCACAGGCCTCGTCGTCCGCCATTCCCTTGGGGCGGAGGCGGCAGGCGGCGCCTGCTGCTGCTGCTCCGGGGCTGCCGGCGCTGCTGCTGCTGCTGGCCTCCGGGGGCGGCGACGAGGCGGCGTGGGCCACGGGCCTGGCGAGGCCCTCTTTGGCGGCCTCCGGGGCGGCGAGGCGCAGCGGCTGCTGCTGCTGCTGCTGCTTCTCCTTCGCCTCTCTGGCCACCTCCTGGTCCACCGTGAACTTGATGGCGTCCGCAGCCGCCTGCGTGCGGAAGTAGTACATCCCCGTCTTCAGCCCCGCCCGCCAGCCGTGGAAGTGCATGGTGGAGAGTTTGGCGTAAGTGGGGTTCACCATGTGGATGTTCAGCGACTGCGACTGGTCCACGAAGGGGGCCCTGTCCACGGCCATGTCCACGATGCTTCTTTGCTTTATTTCCCACACTGTCCTGTACAGCAGCTTCAAGTCTTCGGGGATTTCCGCAATGTACTGCACACTCCCGTTGTGCGCAATTAGCTGCTGCCGCAGCTGCTCAGTCCACAGCCCCCGCTCCAGCAGGTCCCGCAGCAAATGCGGATTCACCACGAAGAACTCTCCACTCAAAACTCGCCGGCAGTAAATGTTCGAAGTGTAGGGCTCAAACGCCTCGTTGTTCCCTGAACCAACACACCTCGCTAGCCCCAGTCCTTCGCTCACCAGCAGCAACAGCAGCAGCAGCAACAGCAGCAGCGAGAGGAGCAACAGCAGTAAGAGCAGAAACACCAGCAGCAAAAGCAACAGCAGCGAAACAAAAACAGCAGCAAAAGTAGCAGCAGCGGCAAAAGCAAGAGCAGCAGCAGCAAGAGCAGCAGCAGCAGCTGACCAAGGATTTGGGAAGTGCTGGCAGTGGGCATGGGGGAGACGAGGAGAGAATTGCGAAGTCCGTATTTGCGGATTTTGGCTTTGAGGCCGTCCCAGTCGCAGAGGCCGCTGCTGGGCTTTACGCCCCACATGTCGAACTGCAAAATGCCCTTCGACGCCGGAGACCCTTCGTAGGTCTCGTAGGGCCCTGCAGCCACACAACACACAGCAGCTAGCCAACACCCAGCTAGCCAACACCCAGCTAGCCACAGCCCCAGCGAGCCAGCGACCAGCTAGCCAAGCCCCAGCTAGCGAGCCGAAGACCAGCTAGCCAACAGCCGAAGCCCCAGCTAGCCCGGACCGGAAGCCCCAGCCAGGCGAGAGCCAGCTGCCCATCGGCTCTGCCTGTGTGCTCTCGCGAAGCCGCCTCCGCCGCCGCTCCGCAGCCGCAGCAGCAGCAGCAGGCGCAGCAGCAGGCGCAGCAGCAGGCGCACCGTGTTCAGCGGCGAGCTGCATGCTGGTCTCGCAGGCCGCGTAGTAAATGCACTCGAAGATGTGGGCGTTGAGCTGGCGAGCCTGGGGCGAGTCGAAGGGGTAGCGCAGCAGCAGAAAGGCGTCGGCGAGGCCCTGGACGCCGAGGCCGATGGGCCTGTGGCGGAAGTTGCTGCTGCGCGCCTCGGGGACGGGGTAGAAGTTGCGGTCGATGATGTTGTTCAAGTTGCGCGTCATGACGGCCACGACGCGCTTGAGGCCCTCGAAGTCGAAGGCGCGCTTCGCCGCGTCCACGAAGCGCGGCAGCGACACGGAGGCCAAGTTGCAGACGGCCACCTCCTCGGGGCTGGTGAACTGCACGACTTCGCAGCACAAGTTGCTGCTGCGCAGCGTGCCCAGGTGCTGCTGGTTGCTCTTCCGGTTGCACGCGTCTTTGTACAGCATGTACGGGGTCCCCGTTTCGATCTGCGCCTGCAGAATGGCGAACCACAGCTTCTGCGCGCCCACCGTCCGCCGCCCCTTCCCCGCCCGTTCGTACTCTTCGTACAGCGCCTCGAACTCCGCGCCCCACCGCTCCGTCAGCCCGGGGCACTCGCACGGGCACATCAGCGTCCACGGGCCTGCAGCAGCAGCGGCCTCACGCGCGCCCAGCAGCAGCACATGCAGCAGCACATGCAGCAGCACACGCGCCCGAGGCGCGTCGGCGCCGCACAAGGCCGCAGACGCAGCAGAACAACCTCCAGCAGCAAGTGCTCCCAAAGCGCCAGCGGACTCTCCGGCAGCACACGCAGCAGCACCACAGCACACGCAGCAGCACCACAGCACACGCAGCAGCACCACAGCACACGCAGCAGCACCACAGCACACGCAGCAGCAGCAGAATGCGTACCGTTGTCGTAGACGCGTTTCATGAAGAGGTCTGGGATCCACAGCGCCGGGAAAAGGTCTCTCGCGCGCATTTCCTCTTTGCCGTGGTTCTTCCGAATGTCCAGAAACTCAAAAATGTCTGCATGCCACGGCTCCACGTACACCGCGAGGCTCCCCTTCCGCTTGCCGCCCCCCTGGTCCACGTATCGCGACGCGTCGTTGAAGACCCTGCAACGCAGCAGCAGCAGCAGCTGCAGCAGCAGCTGCAGCACGGCTCTCTGGGCCCGCCGCCGCCCCCGCCGCTCCCTGGCAGCAGCTTCGGCAGATCTGCAGCTGCCTTCTCAAATGCCTCCGGAAACTCACCGCAGCATCGGAATAAGACCGTTGGAGTAGCCATTGGTCCCCCGGATGTAGCTGCCGGTGGCCCTGATGTCCGTCACCGAGAGGCCCAGCCCCCCCGCCGTCTTCGAGATTAGCGCGCACTGCCGCAAAGTGCTGAAGATCCCGTCAATCGAGTCTTCCTGCATTGTCAGCAAATAGCCTGAGACGGAACACTCCGCACCAAACAGCAACGCTCCAGTGCTGCTGCTGCTGCACCGCTGCTGCTGCTGCAGTGCCGCTGCTACAGTGCTGCTGCTGCTGTAGTGCTGCTGCTACAGTGCTGCTGCTACAGTGCTGCTACTGCTGCAGTGCTGCTGCTGCTGCTGCATACAGCTGCTCATTTGGGGCCTGGGAGTGCCGGCGTTGAAGAGCGTGGGCGTGGCGTGGGTGAAGAGTCTGCGGCTCATGAGATCGTAAGTTTCCAAAGTCCTTTCGATGTCTCCGTAGTGAATGCCGCAGGCCACCCGCATTATCATGTGCTGCGGCCGCTCCACAATGGCCCCCCGAGTCCGCAGCAAGTACGACCTGCAGCCCGCAGCAGCGCAGCAGCACAGCAGCGCAGCACGAGCTGCAGGGGACCACTGGTCACCAGCTGCCTGCAGCCACTGCCTATACTTGAACAAGTTTACACACTACGAGTAACAGCAGCAGCAGCAGTAGCAGCAGGTGCACTCAGCCCCTCCCGCTCCAGCTGCTACAGCCGCCAAAGCGCTGCCCCCGACATGCCGACCACCCAACTAGCGCAAAGACAGCCGCCGCCGCTGCTGCAGCCACCGCCGCCGCAGCAGCAGCTGCTGCTGCTGCTGCTGCTGCGCACCTCTCCAGGGTCTTGAAGGCGAAGTAGTCGTAGTCGAAGTCGCGCTGGTACTGAATGGCGGCGTTGAGGGTCTCGCGGTGCTGCATGACGAAGGCGTAGACCTCCTCGTGGATGAGGGGGGCGCTGCGGCCCTGGAGGTCCACGTAGGAGTAGAGGCGTTCGATGACTTCGCCGAAGTCCGCAGAAGTGTTCTTGTGCAAGTTGTCGATCGCGATCCGCGCAGCCAGCTTCGAGAAGTCCGGGTGGTGCGCCGCCATGTACGCTGCAGCAGCAGCAGCAGCAGCAGCAGCAGCGGCGGCGGCGGGGATGGGCGGCGCGCTGGCTTCGCGACGCGCGGAAACGTCGTGGTGCTGCTGCAGCAGCAGCAGCAGTGAAGCGCGCTGCTGCAGCAACGAGCGGGTGTGGAGGCCAGGCACGTGGTTAGGGAGAAGCAGAAGCAGATGGAAGCAGATAGAGCAGAGAGCAGCTAGAGAGCAGCACGCAGCAGCAGCAGCAGCAGCAGCTGGCAAGTGGAGTTCTCTCCACATTCACAGCCACAAGAAACCCAGGAGAAGCGGAGCTGTAGGGGCTTGGAGTGAGGCGCAGTTGCTGCGAGGCGGCCCGCAGCCGCGCGCAGCGCCGGAGCTGCTGCAGTGGTCCACTCCTGCTGCAGTGGTCCACCGCTGCTGCAGCGCAGAGGCGCAGTGGTCCAGCAACTCACCACTGGTCTGGGCTGCGAGCTCGTCCAGCTCGCTGGTGCGAATGCCCGCGTACATGCCGTTGATCACCGCCTGGCTGACCCTCGCGGGGTCGACGAGGGGGTGCAGCCCGTAGCACAGAGACTGGACTCTGTGGAGGATTTGGTCGAAGGAAACGGGCTCGCGCTCTCCGCGGCGGTTCAGCACGTACATGCCGCTAGTTGCTGCTGTTGCTGCTGGTGCTGCTGCGTCTGCTGCTGCGGCGGCAGCCCCCTCGGGCCGCTTGGCGCCCCTGGAGGCGGCGGACGCGCTGGGCGCGCTTGGTAAGGGCGCAGGCGCTGCAGCAGCTGCAGCGGGACAGGCAGCAGCAGGTGCTGCAGCGGCTGAGGACGCCGCCGGCGCCGCCGCTGCTGCTGCTGCAGCACACGGCTCCGTGGACCCCCCGAAGGCCATGGTGGCAGGCAGCAGCTGGGACTTCGCAAAAGGACTTAAAAAGTCAAAGCAGAGCTGCGAAGACTGGGAGAAGGCCGCAGCAGAGAAGAGCCGTCGAGCCCAACACCAGCAGCAACGGCAGAGCAGCAGCTGCTGCTGGGACGGGGACGCCGCGCGCGGGCCAGCGAGAGGCGCAGCGAAGCAATAAGAGAGGCAGAAGTGCCAATTAGGAACCTTAATAAGCCAACGAAGCCGCAGCTAAAGGTGTGGAGGGGAGAAGACGCAGCTGCACCCTCCAGGCAACACAGACAGGGATGGGGGGCAACAGCAGCAGCAGCAGCAGCAGAGGCAGCGGCGCCAACGGAGCCAACGGGGAAGACCACCGGGTCGAGAGAAGTAGGTGAAATTTCCTTTTATTTTCAGCTTTGCTGAAAGCCAAAGACAAGCAAATAACAACAGATGCAGGCGCAAACAAACGCCAGCAGCAGCACCTGGGCAAGGGGTAAGTAACCCCCAGCAGAGGAACGGGTGGTGAGGTCGCCTGTGGCTGTTGCTGCTGCCCTGACCCCACCCCGCTAACACACAGCAGCAAAACTTATTTTGCAGCCACTTCTTTTCTTTTGCGGGACTTTCCGCTGGCCAATTCCTTCAAATGCATCTCCGCAGCCACCCACTCCAGCGCAGCCACCGCAAGCCCTCCCGCCCTCTCTCTTCCTCTTTTCAACTTTTCCGCCCCACTGCCCCTTCCGCGTTCTTCACTCAGTTCGCTGCTTTGCTTTTACTTGGCAAATCTCCCGCAGAGCCTGCTGGGGTTACTGCAGCGGCTGGGGTTGCAGCTTGGCTTTCTGGGACAACACTTGCCAGTTCAACGCGGAAACTTGAAACAAGACGTGGGCCAATGTGTCTAATTCCCTGAAAATATATTTAATATTTTAAAACGAATGTTGTTTATTCACATATCTGCGCGCATGGATCTTTGTTCTCCATGCATATCTGTTGTTCCGCGGCGAAGACACAGTGCCACGCTGTGCGGCTGCAGCACCCCAGGGCCTTAGTCGCAGCTTGCTCGCACTCACACACATACTAGCAAGGGCTCTCCGTAGCCAGCTAGCCACAGCTAGCTAGCCGCAGCTAGCTAGCCACAGCTAACTAGCCACAGCTAGCTAGCTAGCCGCAGGTAGCCACCAAAAGCTGCCGCAGCTAGCTGCAGCTGCGGCGCCAGACTCTGTCTCGCGCCAAACACTAGAAAATGTACCACAAACAGAAGCTTGAAGAAAATATTCCGATTTTAGCCAAAGACAATACAGCCACGCAAAAGCTTGAAGAAAATACTCCGTTTTTAGCCAAAGACAATACAGCCACGGCCACAGGAGGGGGCCAGTGGCCACTATTGTCCCTTCAGCTGCCAAATGCCACTTTTCTGTGTTCAAATGGCTGTAATACAATTGGCTTAATAAGGCCAGCCTGGCCCCCGCAAACGCCGCAGAGTCTTTGAGCCTTTAAGATTGAATAGCCAACAATTTGGCTGGGGGGCCGGCGAGTCTGCTTGAAGTGCCACTCATTGTAGGGCTTTTTGGCCCAAATAAAGACAAGTGTTTATAGTTAAGAGTTTATAATAAGTCTGGGTAGAGGCAATGAGAAAGCTAGTTTGAAAATTGGGAACTTGCATGCATTCAGCAGCACCTGCGGAAGCTGTGCAACTCGCCTCGAGACGAATTCTTGAATTCGCGCTGAGACCATTCTGCTGGAGCTGCATTTAACGAATAAAGCTTTGTGTCAGCGAGGAGATGAAGACTGCAGCTTTTGGAAGAAACTGAATGTAAGAAACTCAAGTCTACGGCTTTGTCTGTAGGGAATTAAAGGAAACTAAAGGGAAGCAACTGAAGTCTGAGACTTCTTAACAGTTGCGCAGCAGTTTTGCTGCAGACAGAACAAAAAGGACACTTCTTTTGGCTGCAAATGCAGCAGCCGTGGGAAGCTTTCTGGGATTTGGCTGCTGCTAGACTTGATTGCAGGGAGGAACATCTTGAGGGCCTGTGGCCTGACAGCGTGGTAACAGCAGCAGCAGCAGAAATGGCAGCAGCCGCACGAGCGCCAGTAGCAGCAGCAGCAGTAGCAGCAAGAGAGGCGCTGGTTCGATTTAACGGGCTCAGTGAAATGCTCGTAAACACTACACAAATGGCTCACCCTCAGGCCAGGAGTTTAATTACTTTCAGCTGCAGCTCACTTGCCTAAGAGTTAGTAGATCTGACTTAAAAATAAAAAAGCCAAATTGAGTTTCTCATGCGCCAGCTGTTAAGCCTCAAAGGCTTCTGTTCTGGCTTCAGCCCCATGCATGCAAGTTGGATTCTGAGTGGAGTATTTGCAACAAATTCGGGGTCCCTTCTTTGATGAATTCAATTTCAAGTTTTATTCCACTTCAATGGACAATTTTAGCTTAACAGAAAGCTGCGAGCCTTTCTGAGGATAAAGAAAGCGAAAGCGGGGAATGTGGTAACTAGCCATGTTGCAATTCCTGCAAAGAAGCCCATGGGAAATGCAGGACTTGGAAAGCTTTTGAGTCTGCAAACCTTCATAAATAGGAGACTGCATAATAAAAAAGATAAAAGATTGCAGTAAATTCTGAAGAGAGCCGTCAAGTTTTGTATTTCGTTGGCCGCATCATACAGAAAGCCCAGGCTGTCTGCACAAGACTATTATTGCATTTCAGAAGTGTTTGCCGCAAAATCGGATGGAAAAACTGTTTAAATAGAATTCTGTAGCATCAAAGTTGCAAACATTTCTGACTTAGTTCGAAATTCAGATTTTTTCCGGAGCTTTCTCTAGGTGACCACAGCTGCAGTGATCTCTTGAACACCTCTCCCACTCTGACTAGGTAGATATATGCACAATTTGCTTAATAATTCTCTTTGAAAATATTTTTTGTATGTTAGAAGAATTTATTTTCCAAAGCTATGAATCTGTTTCATTCCCGAAGTTTCTTCCTCCCTGCTTGGCAGTACTGTACACTGCAGCCGCAGTGCTTCTTACGAGCCCCAAATGCCGGGCGTAAATGTACATCAAAGGAAATGCAAACGCCAGATAATTAAAAAATTTATTATTTCAGTGCTTTTCATCCATTATTTCAGTCAATCTACTCCGAATTCTATAGGCCTCAAGGCCATTTCCGGCCCGTTTATACTCCTCTGTATTCCAGAAACTACCATGCTTATAATCGCCAGCCACACACAGGGAAGGCATTCCGGTAACAATTTTATCCTCGATATTTTAAGAACAAATGACTAAATTCCTTTTCTATGTAATTGCACAAATCGAAGGGATTAACCCGTACAGTTTAGTTTGCCGTCTCTCAAAGCCAGCTGCAGCTTAAAGCGAATATCTAGAGAGCCAAGACCAAATATATGGGCCACGTCTGTTTAAGAAAATCCGTTCCAGAGTTTTAAAAGCCAAATAATGTATTATAAATGAGATTTGGGCGCAGCACAGCACAGGCTGCAGTGCTGCCGCTGGCGCCGGGCAGCTGCGTACAGCTCAGAGTTGTGTGCAGATCCTTCAAGCCTCTCAGCTACAGGTCTAGAAAACAGCAAATTTTCTCTTTAAATTCATTAATAAATAATTTCAGAGTTCTTTAGTGCGGGATTTTGCGAGGGAAGTCCTGGCCCGAAGGCCGCAGGTCACTGTGGGGCCCCAGGCCTTCCAGCAAGCCCTAGCGGCCCGTCTTGAAGCCAATTTAAAGTCCCCGGGCTATTACTAGCACTTTAAATGAAACAATTTGAAGATTAAATGTTTCCAAAACTGTCTTTTTGTCGCGGGCTGCAGCACCTTAGCCCCAGCCCATCTTAAGAGGGTCAAGTGACCCTTTAGCTCAGCGTTTGAAGCAGCAAATTAACTTTCTTTCGTCCCTTAGCTGCCCTTAGTAAACTATTTGTTGCTGCAGCGCAGCAGCAGCCTTTGCTGCATGTTCTCAGGCGGGGCCCCACAGCTAGTGGGGCCCAGCGGCCAGCTGCAGCTCTGGCCAGCCAGCTGCATGCGCTGCAAGCGTTGCTGCGCTGCAGGAGCTTGGGGGACCCCCACTCCTGCTGCTGGCCCTAAGGGGCCCTCCCCGGAGCCGCAGCAGGGGCCCTCTGAGCTCCCTGCTGCTCCTCAGGCTTCGTGGTGCTGCTGCTGCAGCAGCTGCAGCCCCACAGAGGCTCTAGCCAATGCCGAGCGCCGCAGGCGCCTGCAGCAGCCACAGGTGCAGCAGCACCAGCAGCAGCAGCAGCCGCACGCGCTGCAGCCTGCAAGTCTGGCCGTTTAATCTAAAGAGGCTGTCAGCTCCTCGCATGCAACTAGACAAGAATGAAATAGACAAGAAAGTAAATAAGTCAGTTTTGTTTGCTGCCTTCAAATTTGCTGCAGGGCCTGCAATTTGGGTGTCTAGACAGCTTTGGGCTGAGGGCTTAAGAGCCCCCAGGTGTCTGTACACCCCAAAAAGACACAGCGGACTTGCTGCTGCTGTTGGCGCTGCGACTGCAGCAGCAAAGTTGTTCTCTAGCTGGGCGGGAACCGCTGCTGCCAAGTCTGCTGCTGCTGGCACTGCTGCTGCTGCTGCTGCTGCAGCAGGGGCTGCAGCAGCGCCAAACACCTCCCTCTTGCCCTAGCAAAGTACCCATAGAACAGCCGCAAAGCAGCAGCAGCCCGAAGCCCACTTTCGCTTGCTGCTGCCTCACTGGGGCTTCCTATATTTTCCTCCAGCCTGCAGAGGCAATCAAGCCACCCGATGCTGCTGCAGCAGCAGCTGCTCACAGCGCTGCCAGCAAGCTCAGCAGCAGCAGCAGCAGCAGCAACAGTGGCAGCAGCAGCAGCGATAAGGAACAAAAGCAATGCAAAGTTCTGCACACGTTGGGGTGTACATACAGCTCGCGGGGCTTACCACAAGTTGCGCCGCGGCAGCAGCAGCAGCACAAAAGCCTTTTCGGGGAAATCTGTTGCCTCAGCAGCAGCACAGCCATCTGCAGCAACCCAGCCCTCAATTGTTTTAGTTAGCAGCAAACCTCTGAGACTGTGTCCCCTGGCTTGCTGCTGCGCGCTGTTGCTGCTGAAGTTGCCCTCGGAAAGCCTGCCAGTAGCAGCAGGTGCCGCTGCTGCTGCTGTTGCTGCTGCTGCGGTCGTTGAGCGTAGGGCGACCGCCTCAGCAGCAAAGCGCCACACCCAACGGTCTGTCCAGTGGCTGCACCCAACGCCAAGCTGCAGCGCCACGCTGCTGCTGCTGCTGCTGCTGCTGCTACGGGCCGCTGCGGGAAGCAGCAGTGAGACCTCTTCGTGGCCACAAGGCGACTCCCTTTCTGGTCCATGCAGAAGACCCCATGCAGAAGACCCCATAGTCCCAGCTTTCGCTGCTGTTGCTGCTGCTGTTGCTGCTGCTGCTGCCTGCTGCGCTGTCGCCGCTGTTACTTGTGCTGTTTCTGTTCGTGGTGAAGCTGCTGCTGCTGCTGCTGCTGCTGCAATGACGCCCCTGCGCCAAGCAAGCCGGCTTGCCAGGCGCTGCAACTTGCTGCAGCTAGCAGCAGCTAAAGGGTCAAGACACTCGAAGAAGTGCAGCGCGAAACTCAGCAGCACCAGCTGCTGCGGCGACTGCAGCAAACGCCCACACGCGTTGCGCCTTTCCGCCTCCAGCAGCAGCAAGTGCAGCACAGACACGGCCCGCTTGCTGCTGCTGTTGCTGCTGCTGCTTCTGCTGCTACTGCTGCTGCTGCTGCTCTCTAGAAGTGCTTCCTCGGAAACCTCCACTAGCGGAAGCAAAGAGAGGCTCTCTTCATTCCACCCTAGGGCTGCACTGCTGCAGCTCGGCGGCGGGGCTGCTGCTGCTTCTGCTGCGTTTGCTGCTGCTGCGGCTGCTGCAAGAGCTGGCCCCGAGACAGCACGGAGACGTAAAGGAGTCTCGCCACCTCGGGGTGAGCCGCAGCACAGCAGCAGCTGGGTCTGCAGCAGCAGCAGCAGCGCGTCGTCACTGAGGCTTGCGGTTTGCTGCAGTAGCTGCGCATGCAGCAGCGCTGCAGCACCGCCTAAATCCTCTATTGCCTGCAGCACCACGCCCTCAGCAAGCAGAAGACACATTTGGAACCAGTACTTTGCTGCTGCTGCAACAATTGCTGCTGCTGCTGCTGCTGCTGCTAAACTGCCAGTTGAGATCTTACCTGCAGCTCGACCAGCGACAGGAGGATATCGGCCCAGCACCTGCACGTACACAGCAGCAGCCGC